TATGGATTGATTTATTTTAAAACATGGATTGATTTATTTTAAATAATTTATTAGTATGGATTGATTTATTTTAAAATATGAATTGATTTATTTTAAATAATTTATTAGTATGAATTGATTTATTTTAAAATATGGATTGATTTATTATTGTAGTTGTATGGATTGATTTATTTTAAATAATTTATTAGTATTGATTGATTTATTTTAAAATATGGATTGATTTATTTTAAATAATTTATTAGTATGGATTGATTTATTTTAAAATATGTTAAAATATGGATTGATTTATTTTAAATGATTTATTAGTATGAATTGATTTATTTTAAAATATAAATTGATTTATTATTGTAGTTGTATGGATTGATTTATTTTAAATAATTTATTAGTATAGATTGATTTATTTTAAAATATGGATTGATTTATTTAATAATTTATTATTGTAGTTGTATGGATTATTTAAATTTCAGTATTGTAAAATTAAAATTATTTAAATCTCAGTATTGCAAAACTCTTTTAAGTTTAAAAAATCAGTTTATTTATATTTCAGCTCATTTTAGCAGTCTACAGACGTTAAAAAACAAACAGTCTTCTTCTTGCAGACTGTAGACTTTTGGTCCACCTCTTCTGCTGCAGATATCTCCAGATGTGGTCCGCAGACTGCAAACCTTTTACCTCTGCAAAAACAAACACCACCTTAGAGACATTCCAACATTCCAAAGCTTCTATCCTCCCCTGGTTCTCTTTTTCTGTAACATAATCAGACCCCTTACCACTGCAACTTTTAACTTCCCACCTCCTAGCATAAACATTCTTATAAAAACCTCTTTCAGCTTTACTAACTGAAGCACTCCTCCCAATAGGACGTCGCTGGGCCAATGAAACAGACCCATTCTACAGACCAGAATCAGCTTGTATAACATTTATTAAATCTGCAGACTTAACCCTATTTCTATTTGATCTTGGACTTCCCTGCTCATGCCCATACACCTCACTCCTCCCCATGCTGGAATTAAGCCCATCATCTTTTACCACTTTATCTTGTCCCGAGGTAACACCTTCCATGCTCTGCACCCTTTTTCTTCCTTCAGAAAAAACCCCTGACACTAGCTGCTGACTGTGAACCTCACCTAGTACTATCCCCGCAGAACAAAAGTCAGCACCTAAGATATTATTGACTTCTACATTTTCTTTCAAATTTCCAACGGTAAGCGTGTCACCCCCATTTGAAGCATTCCTAACCCATGCTTCAACCCTGTTCTAATTATCTGCCAACGTTTTGAAATTCAACTGCTCCTGCAGACCCTCCCGATCATCCCCTTGATTCTCTTCCGACGAGGTCTCCTCCCATGGATCAATTGTTCCCTCCACAAAACCTTCTTCATCAACTCCATCTTCTATCACAGGAAAGAAATCCTCACTGCCTTCCACTTTAATCTTAATAATAAAAGGCTTTCCATAAGTATTAATGGTGACATGGGACGGGATATCAAACGGGCTCTCAACCCTTAACAACATATGAGCCACCCTGCAATCCACTTTATGAGCTATATGCTCCTGGATCTTAACTAATTTGTCCCATCTCGATGCCAAACTTGTAAAGAATGAAACTGACCAGCAATTTAATGGAACACCTATCATGGAAATTGCACAATAAGGTATTGGGACACACTTCTCTTCCATAACATGCTCCAGCCTTTCGAACCAAAATGACAGTGCCTCCCACTTGTTTTCCACCGCTACCTCTTTCTCCTCCACTGACTGGAAGACTATCAAACATGCATTTTTTGCATACCCCCACCATACTACCTTGACATTGATTCCCTCACTTCTTAAAGCCCTTTGAACAAACTCAACTTCAAAAATCGCTTTACAAATACCTGTCAAAGACGATCTCAATCATGTTCTTTCCTCCATTGGAATAAAGACTTCCAAAGGCTTCTTCCCCTCCCTCTTATCTCCAGAGTTGATTACTTGCTAACCCTCAACTTTTCGCACTCCCACTACCGTATCCTTATATGATCTACCATCATGAAACTTGATCAACAGCTCCTTCCCAACATCAACATCTTGACATATTGGACTTTTCCTTTTGGATACCTCCACACCTGCATCTCCAGGCCCCGCTAAACTATTACGCTTAAAGTTCCCTGGAAAACTACTCTTCTAATATTTCGCAGTCGTTACCACTATTCTCCTCCTATCTACCATGACATTGTTCATCTTACTCTTTGCATAAAGCAAATCCTCCTTGCTTGCAAAGTGCACAAAGGCAAACGTTTTATCCTTATAATTAGGTCTCCTATTAACAAATGGAATGAACACCTTAACCACCTTGCCATAAAGACTAAAACGATCCCATAAAACACTTCTATGCACTCTCCTTCTAAGATTATCTATGAATGCTACCCACGATCCTCCACCAGGCACTGCTCTACCTCTGCCAGGAGATCTACAGTCTCTCGGCTCCACACACACTCTCACTAACTTTCTCACTCATGTTTTGGCGTCCTCCTTTTTAAAAAGTAGTTTAGATTAACTATAAATTTATCCTATTTGATTTGATAGTTTAGATTAATTATAACCCTATCCTTTTATTTTCTAAATAGGATAAAACCTTATCTACGAGTAATTGTAGTTATATATTTAAATTTTTCTACTCAGGCTATTTAAATAAGGCTTGAATTTCTCTTCTAATCAATCAAAAAATTTGGAATCACTTTGATCTTTGTTCCTAAATCTTTACTTTCTACAATAATTTGACAAGATAACAACAAAACATGCAATGCTATGCCTAATGTTGTGGGCCAAACCTATGTTTTAAAGGCCATTAATTTTGATTCTCTAATTAATGCATAGGTTACAATTTTATTTCTTTCCTTAGGTTTCTTGATTGTGATATTGTTTTAGTTAATTTATTTCCTTTTAAGAACAGGGTTCGTTTAAAGAAACCTATGTAATGAGATTGATCCTTAATTAAAGGGTCGTTTGGAATAATAAACCCTTAACATGATTTCCATAAAGAAACCCCAACTACATCTAAAACTCTCTCTAACAAGTTTTCCCAAAACTCTAGATAAAGGGAAGACCATTGACTTGGACTCCCCACCAATCGCCTTATGACACAATCCTGTTCACACATTCATAACAATTTGCCATCAGAGCCTACCATGATGGTAAATGTCGTACAAACATTGTTACAAGAAGAGCGAACTGTTATTGAATCCATGGTGGATGCTAAGTTTACAATTTGAACGATTGGGTATGGTGACACAAGCAGTAATACAATCCAACTTAGACCAAGTACCTTTCCCACCAATTATTAGAGGCGTGGTGTCTAACACCGATAGTGTCTAGTTTTTCAAAAACCAAACTAATGAGGCAAACAAGGTAAGTTTGGCAGCCTTACACATGCTAGATGAGACACAAGTTTGGTATCATCAGATTATGGTGGAGGGGGGCGTGTGATGAACTGGTTAGAATTTTGGAATTACTACTCCCTTCATTTTGGTCCTCTAGAAGGCAACAACTTTTTGAAGGCATGGCAAAGATAAGGGTGAAGGCTTGTGTTATAATTGTAATGAACCGTACACAATTGATAGTTGGATCAATGTAAGCTCTTTCTGGCTGGAATTATCTTATCTAAATGACGTAGAGCCAGAAAACAAAATTGAGATCGAACCAGGCTGGTTTATATTTTCAAGTTTATATTGACTTCGAGCTTGAGGACAAGCTCTTTTTTGCAAAAAGGGGGTAACTGACCAATGTTTTAAAAAGGCCATTTATTTTGATTCTCTAACCAAGTTTTTATTTCTTTCCTTAGGTTTCTTGATTGTGGTTTTATTTTAGTTAGCTTATTTCCTTTTTATAAAAATTCCTAAAGAGATATCGGTCTCTCTCTAACGAATCCCAAGGTTTCAATCTCTTTTTTGATAAGCAAAATTGTTAATCACAATATATCATCCCAGTAACTGAGGTAAAGGGAAGACAATTGACTTCGACTTACCTGTCAATTGTCCTGTGACGCAATCCTACTCGTGCATTCTTAACACTAAACAAAGTTATATTCAGAGTTTGCTTCAGCGAAAGCGGCTGCCAGAAAGTCCATCCAGCACTCAAGGCAAAGCCTCATAACATGATCCAACATACAACCATGACTTGCAGATGAAGTAAAAAAATGAATAATACAAGCCTTGTTCACCATTGTTGTTTTTTTTCTTTCTAAGCTCCATTATGAGATCCAATTTCAATCAGACAGCTCTGACTTGAAAATACTATTCTATTAAGAGGATTGTTTCATAACTTCACCAGATGTTAATCAATAATATACAACACATTAGATAATGTTGTGCCTGAGATTAGCATTACTCTAGACATTTTGAAGCTATTCACAACCAAATCTTGACAATTGTCTGAAATTAATAAGACTCCCAACAAATTTGAGTCTGTTAAACAGAAGTGAATATGACTCATACCCCATTAACTTTACATCAAAACTTCCCTGCCTATATCCGTCCAGTAAATATGATATTGGAAATTGGAAAAAATTTCAATCTTTATGGAAGGGGGATGTAATGTAGTAGACTAGATGTAAATTAAAATCCGAGTATGGTTGATGTCTAAGACAATATTTTGAACCTAGAACTGCATGAAGGGTGGAGGAACTCTAGCTCTACTAAATCATAATAGAGTAAAACCAAAAAGAAGAAATAAATGATATCTTCTCACTAACAAAATAGAACATAAAAAAATTGTTGAAATAATAAGAACCAAGATGACATATCAACATCAAACTATCAAACCTTTGTTATCAGTCAAAAATCTGAAATTCAAATTGAATAGGAAACATGCAAGCAAAACAACAATCAACTGCTTTTAATTAGTTCACTAAACACAAAGCTGAGAACCAATCACCAAATGCTTGAATATATTTATAATCAATCCAAATTAGTAATAGCCGATAAAGTAAATGTAGGTCAGATACACATGGTGAAGAACCAAACCTGCAAATGGCTTGCAACATTTTCTCTAGTTAAACCAGGCACATTCATCAGCTCAAGAATTCTCTTGGGAACAGCCTCTGAGACGGAAGCCATAATGTTTTATTCAGCAAGAATTAAAAAAAAATAGTATGAACATTTCCTATTTTCAGAGATTAAACAGAACACAAAATGCTACCCCCATACACATTCAACATTATAAGAAAATAAATAAAAGGATCAAATCATTGGAGATCTTACTATCAATCCCCAGCTGGTTTACAGCACTAACAAATTGTTGATGCAGCTCCACTGACCAAACGACTCGTGGTTTCTTTGAAGTGGATGGATCATCATTGTCGATTTCACCATCATCCTCTTCTTTTGTATTGCTCCTCTTTTTAAGATGTTTCAATGATGCATCTGTTGCATCATTGACAGAAGAAGCATATTCAGCATCATCATTACCCTGTCTGTGCCTATCAGCATCACTTAAGCTTTCTGAATGTTCTAGTTCTTTATTTCCATTCCATTTCTTCCTAACAACATGCTGCCATATATTCTTTAACTCTTCCTCACGTACGGGTTTAATCAAATAATCACAGGCCCCGTGTCTAATCCCCTTCATAACAGCACTAGTTCTCCCATCAGCCGACATCACTGCAACAAATTCATCATGTTAATATGCAGGAACAAAATTTTATCAAAAATCTTTACAGGAAAACAAAATAATACTTACTAATTACTGGAAGATCCATTTCAAGCCCAACATGTTCGAGAAGTTTATAACCATCCATATCTGGCATATAAACATCACTTAGTATCACATCAAAGCATCCTTTTCTCTCCCGTAAAAGGCTGAGGGCAACTTTGGCTTGGGAGCAAGTAGTTACTGCAAAATGAAAAGGACAAAAAGGAACTTTATTTTTAGAAGAAAAAAAGAAGAAAAATAAACTTTGAACAAACAACATATCATTTTATTCTCGTCACAAATAACAATTAAGATGAAACCATAAAAATACTTGAGACTCTTTCTGGTTTTTGATAGCACGGGGCCTAAGACATGCAAAACCAAAATTTAGAAAGCAAAGCGTATTTGGGTTAGTGAAGCAAAGACATAATGCAACACTTTCAAAAGAACTAAAATGTAATTTTTGATGAATAAAACAGCGTGATTTCACCCTTTTAGGAAAAAATTATGTTTAATTTTGCCTGGTATTTTAGTGATTCGATCATCGCTAACTGAATATGAACCACGAAAATATACTAAAAACAATGCTTAATTAGAAATGGAAGTTCTATAAACAGAAATACATAGAAATATGTATAAAAATAAAATTTTAAAAGCCAAATTAAGCACCGATATAGAGGCAACGGCGAAGCATCTGCTCGAGAATTCTTAAGCAAGTAATGTCATCGTCGACAACTAGAACCCTCAAACCAGCCGGGAACTGATCGGCGATCATAACATCCTCTCCTTTGCACGAAGACAAGCCACCGTAGCAGCTGGTGGTAGCGGCGCTCGTACTCACATTCGACTGCATCACTCTCTGCGTGGCAACCATATCCAGAAATACACAACTCACTCACTCATTAGAAAGGGGAAAAAGAAACTAAAATTACAGTATTTCTGCCTCTTAATGCTCCAAGTCATCAAAACAAAGCAACGAACGTCGACAATTGAAACGGAGGGAAAAGGGAAACCCTAGAAATGAGGTTGAAATTGAGAGGCTTAAAGCGGGATGGGACCGAGAAGTGAGTAAAACAAGAAAAAATTACGAAGATTATAGTTTCTCTGAGTTGAGTTTCCTTTTCCTATTTTATAGACAGCAGAAGGAAAATGGAAAATAGAGGAAAAGTTGTCCTTGTCCGCTATGGAAATAATAATTGGTAGGGTGAGTATTAAATTTATTAAGTTAAAAAAATTAAATTATTTGAATTAATTTGTATTATTTTATAATCTAAATTTTAATTTGAAAAATAAAAATAAATTAAATTATAAAATTATAAATTGAATTAAATCAAAATAAAATTTTTAAATATTTTTAGTTAAAAATTATTTTTTAATAAAAATGAGTTACAAAACAACATATGTTTATCATTTTTCTTAATTATTAATTACGTAATATAATTATCTAAATCTAAAACCTATAAAAAATAATACTCACTGTTACTATAATTGTTTAATAAATTGAATCAAAATAAATTTTTAATACTATATTAAATAAAGATTTTTAATCTTTAAGAATTAGATCAAATTTTACTCCGCTTAGAGTGAATTGGAGAAGGTCAAGGTTTCGTATTTGAGTTATTATATATGCATAAAATATTCGACGAAAGATTTATCTATCATAACTAAATGTGTGATTTTAATCGATCCAAGTTAGTAAAAAGTGAAACCTTATAACAGGAGGGTAAAAAAAAAAAGAGGTATATGAGACCGGGTGTCAGGGTGAAGCATAGCCACAGTGGCTGGCGTGCGATTTCGCTGCTGGTGGGTTTCCCTCGCCTCGGTTTGCTGTGTTGGTAGGGAGGGACTACCTACTCCTTTTTTGTTTGTATTTTTTGCATTAAAAATACTCAAACGTTTTTATTGCTTTGTCCTTTTCCTTTCTTTTTTTTCAATATCACTGCTCACTGCAATTTAAACCATAACAACCAAAAGTCATGGACTTTTGGTGATGAATAAAGCCAGGGTTTAACTGTTGACTTTGACGCTTTGATCAATTATTTTTAGAATAAATTATCTATTTTGGGGTCATTCATTTAATTGTATATTCCTGTTTAGTAATTTCATTATATTTTTAAATTATATTTAGATGTTTTATTTCCATTTTTGTTATTCGTAATTAGATTTGATTATTGATTTATTGAGAAAATTATATAATAATGTATAATAATTTTAATCCCAAAACTTATATATTTTATTATTTTAATCCTAACTCAAAATCTCACCAAAGACAACGTATTCATGTGTTCAATCCCACCGAGGTCCACTTTATAGGTGAGACGAGCAATGACCCCAACTTTGATGGTGTAACTATCTTTTAAGTCACTGATAATTTTAAAATAATTGTAATTAAATCATTACATCTCCTACAAATTTTTAGTGTACTTGTTTTTTAGGATATTTTCAGTTTTAAAATTAATATAATTAATTTTTATCCTAAATTTGTTTAATTTAATTAATTTTTAGAATAAAGTATACAAGTGGTCTATCGAATATATAATATTATTTTATTAAGTTCCTTGACTATTAAAGTTATAAAATGATCCTTTGACTACAGTGTGTTGCTTTGTTGAGTCTTTCGACTATTAAAAATTACAAAATGATTACTCGGCTATTTATTATATTCCAAACTCGTTCTTCAACGTTAAAAATTTGGCAATCGTCTGAGTTAGTCGTCTAAGCGATCGTGGGATGACTATCTTATAATTTTTAATAGTCGAAGAATTCAATAAAACAATAATCTATAGTAAGAGGACCATTTTATAAATTTTCATCTGTGTACAATGCCGACTCCATCTCTCCCTACCACATTGTTCTCTTTTATATTCCAATATGTGTGTGCTCTTCTGAATTCCAGTTTCTGGAATGCGGTTAGCTTTCAATAATGTGAATTTCGTCGATCCTTGCGCGTCTTGATGATTGCCAAAGCTACAAATATCAAAGAACAAACCAGAACTTCCAATGCAAAAAAAAAGAATTTATATTTTGCGGCCACTTGAGAGTTTATGTCACTCCGGTGACGGGAATTTAACGGGGAGAGTAACACATAATCGTAAATAAATCCATCAAGTGACGTTAATAGTAAATAATATATATATATAAATAATTTTTTTTAAAATTCCGAAAAAGGTATATATATATTATTAATAACTAAAAAGATGCTGAACATATATTTTTAATATGTTGTCTTATATCAATCTCGTAATAATTAAAAAATAATGGCAAGTATTTAAGTATGGCCCACAAAGCTGAGGATTTCCAACGAAAGAAGTTGAGTCGAAAAATGAATGTTTTGAGAAAAATCTGCACTATTAGGCTTTTTATGGAACCAACTTGGGAATGCTTCCGTTTAGTGGTTCCAAGAAACATTGAGTTAATTCAATACGTGAATTTGAGCGATCCGACCAGGGATTGGACTAGTGAGTTTGTAAATTTGAGCGAACCGAGTTGATTTTGATGATTCGGTTTGAATTAATAATTTTGTAAATTTGGCATCCATAAATGTTATTTTTAATAATTTAATTCATTATATTTTATAAAATAAAATATTATGTTTTATTTATGTCACAGAAATAGATTCAATATGACGAAGACATTGTTTTATTATGTAACTTAATGTTTCACGTCAATAATATTTTATATATTTATTTTAGTTAAAAAATGTTCTAGATATTTATTTTTACTAAACTAACAATTTTAAATATTTATTTTGATCAGAAATATTTTAGATACTTGAATGAAAAAGTTATATACTTTAAATATTTATTTGTGATATAAATAATAACAATAAAGGAATAGGGAGAAGTGAAATTTATTAAGTGGTCTTGATGGTTAAAATGAATATTGTTCTCTCAGATGTCTTGAATTTAAGTAACTACGTCTGTACGATATATATGTACATTATTAATTAATTAAAAAATTATAAACAAATACTATGTATAGGAAGTAAGTGCATTAAATTTAGGAGTTTGTAAAGAGAGTTGGGGCATGGATTTAGGTGGTTGGTAGGTAAGAGCTTGACTAGAGATCAAGTGAGGACGAAGGCTTGATATTGTACCGTGTGAGTCCACTCAATAATGTGAATTCATCCAATTTCTTTAGTACACATCAAATAGTCTTTTCCTTTTTCCATATTTTTGTTAAAAAAGAAAATCTAAAAAATTGAATTAAATGTGTAATATTTCCATATACTATTCAAAATTCTGTGAAGTTTGATGTTTTGAGTTAGATCAAATATATATATATATATATATGCTTGAGTCTTAGTAGTATGGATACAAGAGTGTAATTAGTGAAGTTACCAAATTACAATCCATCAACTTGTGCAAGTTATACAGTGCGACACTTTTAATATACAATTAAAAAAACATGTTATCGGTTTATTATTATTTAAATAATAAAATCGGTAAAAAATTACTTAAAACATTATTATTTCTATCTAAAACATCAATGTTTTTTTAACATTTTCGGTAAAATATCCAACAATAACGAAACCGGTAGAAAAAAATAACAAAACATGTAGTGCTTTACCGATTTTGTTAACAAAACCGATAAAACGCCCAATAATAACAAAACAGGTAAAACGCCCAATAATAACAAAACTAATAAAAATAATAATTTTTTTGATAATTTTTATTATTTAAATAATAACAAAATCAATAATATTTTCTTTAAATTGTATACTACGACTGTCACACGTCATATTTACCATCAACTTGTTTGTGAACAAAATATAGATGAGGCTAATAGAATATTTTAGCTAGGGCCAACTTGCTGGCTGAATTGCCCACAATCACTGTGCCCACTAGATATGACAGAGAAATGACTGGCTGCCATTTCAGTCTTGATTTCACTATAAAAACACTCGCACATGCATCATAACCTAGCCGACATTTTTTCAAATTTGGGTAAATATCATATATTATTTTGTTGATAGGAAAAATGGATTACGACCATAGTAAATGATTCAGTTCTTTTGATTTGGAACAAAAAATTATAGTCGATGAATATGATGATAAACTAGAAAAAAGATTGTGTATGGTGAGTTGAAAGAGTGAGTTTGAGATCACTTCTGCGGTCATATAAGGTGGCTTATATTGACATATAGTGTTGATGTTAAGTTTAGGGCCATGATGATTATTTATATATTATATAGACACATAAATATAATTATTGGATAGTAAATTTGATTACACAAATCACGAAAATTATAAATGATCGTGATATCAAAAGATAAATTAATTAAAGGATATAAAATTTTAAAAATTTTGACCAACGAAGGAATCCATAAATTTTAATAAACATATAATAAAAATTAGAGGTACGACATTATAAGAAAATGGAAGGATGTACAATAGATTTAATAAGTTTGAATATGTTTATTCTTAAAAAGGATAAGTGTTGCTGTTGCTAATTAGTTGTCTTGATTTCAGATACAATCCGATATCCCCATGCATAGCAAGTAGGTTTTATAAGAGGGGAACTTTGAATTAAACCAAAAGTCTATGGAAAAAGGCCAACAAAGCCTACCTCTGCCGCTAGGATGCCGTTAGGGATAGATCAAGCGGAGCGCGTGGGGGCAAACACCCTCTGAAAATTTATAAGTTTAAGTTCGTTTCCTAGAATTTTATAAATTCAAATTCTCCTCTCTGACTTAAATTCACGCGTTCGTCCTGTCTGCCGCTCGAAACAAAGCCTGTCCCCTTGAGGACTCTATATGTGGGAAGCATAGCAAATATCAGTGAACATGGGGACATGCAAGTTATAGTGTTATAAACAATCACCAATAATCAAAGGGAGATTAATTATATAAAAAGAAAGGATGCTGAAGACAATTTTACTCCTCGATCGACACTGCTGCTATCAAAATTGGAGGTCAAATGCGTGCTAACCCAGTTCAAGACACATTTCTGCATAAATCTGATAATTTGAAAACAATATTTACAACTCATTGAATGGTTTTATCAAAGAATGCTCTTTCTAAAGAACATAAGTTTGAGCATCTGCGTTTGGGGTATGTGCGTGTTGTTAATAAGCA